AAAAAAAAACAGGAAAGAAAGAAGGCCACTCTCACTCGGTCGGCCGACGAGCCGACCAGGGGCACTGGCACACGGCCTGCCGCCGTTTTTTTTTTGGCTTGCTATAATTATTTATTTTTTGCTAAGCACGGGCAATCACATTTCAGAAGGGTCGTGCCCGGCAAGCTGGAATTTTTGGGACGAAATCATGGAGTCGAGATCGACGGCGTGTTCGAACCTCGGCAGGCCTCCGCTCTGCGAACTGGCGGCTCGGCACGACAGGGGCCACGGCGATACCCAGCGAATGGATTTCCAAGTGGGAAAAATGGCAGGTGTCGATGTGATTTCAGGTGCCTGCATCTCGACGGCGCAGTTCGAATTTCAGGTCCGACTGCAGCGAGCGGGCGAGCGGGCGAGCTTGGCTGGCCGCCTGCAAGCGCTGCCAGCTGTGTTTGTTGGTGGTCACAGCTGGTGGCTCCTGTCGCGCTTCCCCCTCTCCAACTTCTCTTCCTCCGATCTGCTCCAGACCTTCAAAGATGTCGGAGCGACCCCAACGAGCGTGCTTTGGTGGATGCGCTTGAATCTGCAACAGGCGCCGAGAGTTGCTGCTGTTCTTTTTGCTCGACTTGACCTGCCTGCCCTTTGATTCCAATGGAGTCGCGTCGGAGAGTTGCCGCTGTCGTCGACGCAACTCCGAGCACCGACGCGCGATGTTTTCCGCAGCTGCTGCACCAACCGGCTGTGAAGCGTGACAGCGTCGTCGGCTCCTCCGCTGGGCTGTCAGCGGCTCTGAGACTGGCGTGCACATCACGTTTTGCTTGCCGCGCGTGCAGCTCATGTCGAGCACTGGTACAGAATCGCAGCGAGTCTCGTCCAGCTTGCTGTCATCGCGCGTCAGGCGATCCTGAAAAGCAGCGAGGATCTACACAGGGATGCCGACGCACTCGTAATTCTCGGCGACAGCGGCAATTCCGCACATCCGTCACCGTCGTCTTTTGCCCCTTCGTGCCTGTGACTGGCGTGCAGTCTGCTTCGGAGCGCCGATGCTGCCTCCCGGCGCAGACGGGGTCGTCCGGCCGTGCCATCTGCCGTTCCGAGCCGACTTCGGCTTGTGACTGGTCGGTGGTGTGGGAGTTGCATTGCAGAGGCAAGCCCCCCCATGTACCAGCCCGTGCCTCGCAGCCAATTTTCAACCGCCGCGAGCCGCAAAGGCTTGGCAGGCATTTTAGGCCGATGCAGAGGGCCCGCGTATCACCTTGCTTGACGCTGTGCGCCCGCAGTGGCCCTTGAGACACCGGAAGCGATCCTCGAGGTCGCCGATCGCATTCTCCAGGCGCACTCACTTTGAACAGATTGCCACTCTTTCTTCATATCGCGGCGCGAGGATGCGCAAAGGACGAGGCAAGATTATGACAGCTAGGTTGAGCTTGTAGATGCTCTGGAAAGCTCAAGTATATCTTCTTGAAGTGACAACGGATTTCCCACGCTTGAGAAGCTTGTCGCTCATCGTCCGAGGCCAAGGTAAGAAGCGCATGCGCATGCTCATCAAGTCTCTCGACGCTCATCCTTGTCCGTTTGACCAACGGTCCCTCCGGACAGCCGCAATAATTCACAGCGACCCTTCTCCGACCCGCACTCGATCCCTGCTCTTTCTGCAGCCAATGCCATTCTTTGATGCTAGTAGCGACTTGGTCGTTGATCACTGGCGTCGAAGCCATCGGACGGCGCGCTTGTCGTGCTTGACGAGCGGCATGAGAGTGTTGCGCACGTCGGCATTGTGCTGCTTGAGCCAGCGCGATTCGGCGTACGAGAGCAGGCTGTGGTCGACGAGGTTGGTGGCGATGGGCACCTGGGTGATGCGCTCAAAGCCGTACCAAGCCACGCCGCCGAAGCCCCGGTGGGTGTGGACGCGCTTGACGGCAAGCAGCGACTCGGTGCGAATGCCAAAGTGCCCCTCCTCGTAGAAGCCTGGCTCGTTGGTGAGCACCATGTTCTCTTCGAGCGGCACCGGCTTTTTGGATCCGCCGCTCATGGTCGAGAAGCCCTGCGGACCCTCGTGCACGTCGAGGAACGAGCCGATGCCGTGACCGGTGCCGTGGAGGTAGTCGTATCCGTCCTGCCATAGCGCATGGCGTGCGATCGGGTCCAGCTGGACGCCGGTCGTGCCCGCGGGGAACGTGGCCTCGCTGAGTCGGATGTGGCCCTGCAACACGCGCGTGTAGGCACGCTTCTGCTCGGCACTCGGACGGCCAAAGTGCACGGTGCGCGTGCAGTCGATGGTGCCGTCGTGGTACTGTCCACCCGAGTCGTTGAGGTAGGGCGTCTCGCGGTCGATCACACGGCTGCCCTTTTCGGGCGTCTCGTAGTGCGGAAGCGCCGCGTTGGGGCCTGACGCAGAGATGGCGTCGTAACTGTCACCAGCCGAGAGCGGCAACTCGCTGCGCAGCTCGGCAAACTTGGCCGCAGCCTGCCACTCGTCGACGTGCGCGCGCTTCACCTTGACCTGCTCCTCGAGCCATGCTGCCCACCGCACCCATGCGGCACCATCGCGGATGTGCGCCGCGCGGAACCCGTCCAGCTCGACGCTGTTCTTCACCGCCTTGCGCAAGGCAAGAGGCGACGGGCTGAGGATGTCCACCTTGTCGTCACCGACCGCATTGGCCACGGCATACGACAGCTTCTCGCCCGAAACAAGCTTGCGCCCATCACTGCCCTCTCCAGCCCAGCGGCGAAGGTGCTCCCAGATGGCATCGTATGGCTGCACCTTGAGACCGAGCGTGTCGCGCACGTAGCGGTCAGCGTCACTGCCCTCGGACAGCAGCTCGCTGCGGATGAAGAGAACCGCCTCGTCTGCCGACACGAGCACGTAGGCCGGGAAGACGGGGTGGCAGGGGATCGATGCTCCACGCAGGTTGAGCACCCATGCCACCTCGTCCAGCGCCGACACGAGGTACGCCGAGCCCGTCGGCTTGGCCTCGAGGTCCTTGCGCACGTCGGCGAGCTTGGCGGTGGCGGGCTTGCCGGCGTACTTGAGCTCGTGCTCGTACACGGGCGATGCCGACGGCTTGGGTCGGTCGTCGCCCCACGCCGCATCGACGAGGTTACGCTCGGGGAAGACCACAGCTGCGCCTGCATCCTTGAGCGTGTCGATGAGCGTCTTGCCGGATGCGTAGCTGATGAGGGCAGGGTCCATGCCTATCTTGACACCGTCGTGCGCCTGGGCAGCGAGCCAGGCGGGCCAGTCGAGCACGCCAGCACGCCCGACCTTGTGCAGCGTCCAGTTGTCGTCAAGCTGTTCAGCGGCCTGAACGTGATAGCGACCGTCGGCGAAAAGGTGCGCCGAGTCGCGCGCCACGATCGCCGTACCGGCAGAGCCGGTGAACCCCGAGATCCACACGCGGCGCTGGTCCGAGGGCGCCGTGTACTCGGTGGCGTGCGCATCGTCGGTTGGCACGAGGTAGAGCTCCACATCTTCCTCGTCCATAAGTTTGCGTAGAGCTGCAAGACGCTCGCCCGTCACATCCGGCTTGCCCTCCAGCTTGGTGGATTTGTCCGAAGCCGCGTTGGGTTCGACCAGGGTGCGCTCGCTCCGCACCGAAGCGACGTCGCTCGACTTGCCCTTGCTGAAGAAGCCAAAACAGCCCATCTTGATTAGTTGTTGGAAGGCAAAATGCGTAAGAGGGGTTGATGGTGGTCGAGAGATGAGCACGGCCCCCACGTTGCAAACGGTGATCTACTGTCTGTGCGCTCGGAGCGTCAGGGTCCGAGCGGCGACCTTGGATCGGACGCATGGATTGCTGAGCTGCCACACACTGCCGATCCGACCAACCCCGCCGGTCTGGGCAAAGAAATCCGAAAATGTCAGATCGACCCTCCAACCTCGGCGCCAAAAATCGGTTTCTTTTTTCAGCTCAGCCTTCTGGACCCGGCTGCCGTCCCGCTGCTGTCAACTGGCGGGGGAATGTGGAGTAAAAGCGAAATTTGCGGCCGGAGCTCCATAGGTCTGACAAAACCGCCGTATCGGCACACCTCCTTCTGCTCAGCCATCTACTCCGTCTCCCTTCGCGATCCCATCGGACGACAGCCCGGCAACATGAGGTAGTAAAGTCGATCCCTCCCTGTGCATCGATATCCGCGTTGCTCCCAGCAAGGCTACGATTCAGGATGTTCAAAGCAGCAAGCACGTCCAGGCTCGGCGCGGCCATCAACGCTCGCCTCGCTCAGGCCGGATCAAAGTCAAAGGAGGCGGCTGCAGTGTCCGCCTCACAATCGCAGCTGCGTCGAAAGACCAATGCAGGGAAACCAGCAGCACGAGAAAGCTACCTGGCCGTACGAGCTTACTTTACACGCCTCGAGCAGTCTCACGAAATTCCGCTCGCCCACAACAAGCCAGCGCCGTCACCGCGGGCGTACCCGTCTTCGCTGCAACGCACGAGCTCGAGCATCACTCACCAAGCAAGAGCCTTCCATGCAGCCAGGTCTGTAGCTAAGGATCTCGATCAAGGCTCCGCACCAGGCCAGTCAAAAGCCACAGCCCGCCCGGAATCACCGGCGCCTTCGAGCAAGACGCCGTCCAAAGACGCGGACTCGCCTCGCTCCACAGAGCAGCCTCAAGATCCTCCGCCCCCAGACGCACCTACTCCTACAACCACATCCACCGAGCTCACCACCGCAGAACGCGCGTACCACCACTTTGCCAACTATCCGCGCTCGCTGCAACGTCTCGCTCTCAGCGCCGTGCGTACCTCGCCCGCTCGACCCGCCTCGAGCTCCGAACCGTCGTCTCACGAGCACCACCGCCTTCGTCCATCCAAAGAGGATCTGCTGCGCATCGCACAGGGATTCTGGACGCGCCTGCGCATCCGCTTCAAGTGGTTCACCATCCGCGGCTTCCGCCGCTTCAACGCCGACGACATCAGCGCCTTCTTCACGCTCGGCGGCTTCACCACCGCCATCTTCATCATCGTCGGCACCACCACCTTCTTCTCGCTCGTGTTTGCCGCGCTCAATGCACTGAATCTGCAGGAGTGGATCGCACGCAAGATCGCAGACTACCTCACCGCAGAGACGGGCGTCACCGTCGTCTTCGAGAGCGCCATCGTGCCCAAGTGGAAGCAGAGCAAGATCAGCTTCAAGAACGTCTTTATCTCGCGCCGCGCACACGGCGATGTAGACTCGCTCCTCGAGGAGAGGAGGCAAAAGGCGAACAAGCGCGGCGCAGAGGGCACCAACAAGGTCAAGAGGAGAACCGCCATCACCGCGGGCGACGGCATGGCGTGGGAGGGCACGCATTACGAGGAGGTCGAGGAGGTCGCCCCGCCCATGAGCGACGAGGCGAGGGGAGAGGACCTCGCAGAGGACGACACGGTCAACACCAACTACACCATGTTTGACCTGCAGGTCGACTCGATCGACGTCACGCTCAGCCTGCAGCGCTGGTTCGACGGCAAGGGGCTCGTGGAGGATGCCGAGGTGCGCGGCGTGCGCGGCATCGTCGATCGCCGCAACGTCTTCTGGGACCCGGACAGGCCGTACGATCCGGCGGCCGCACGCAGGGCGCCTCAGCACGGCGACTTTGAGCTCGAGTCGTTGGTGGTTGAGGACTTCCTCGTGACCGTGTATCAGCCCAACGACTTCCGGCCGTTCAACTTTAGCATCTTCAGCGCACACATCCCCAAGCTGCGCAAGCAGTGGCTCTTCTACGACCTGCTCAGCGCTGATTCGATCACGGGCCAGGTGGACGGGTGTCTCTTCAGCCTGCACAAGCCGCAGAGCATCAGCCGCACCGTCGAGCAGGACCGCGAGATGATCCACTCCAAGTGGAAGACCATGTCGCGCATGCGCGTCGACGGCGTCAACTTTGACCACATCCAGAACCAGTCGGATCTCACCGGCCCCATCTCGTGGATCCTGTCGGGCAAGTTTGACGTGGTGGCGGACATCAAGTTTCCGCGCGATCTCGACGACGAGGCGGACATCAACACGATCATCAGCGAGGTGCTCGACAACCTCACCGCGGCGCTGTCGGGCGAGCCCAATCGCGACCAGGACGACGCGCCCATCCCGGGCCAGCACCGGCTGAGTGGGCCTGCGATTGAGGCACCCGTCTCGGCCGTGGGTGCTACGGCCCAACGCGTGCGCAAAGAGAACGAGGAGGCGCGCCGTCATGGCCGCGATCCCGTGCGTGCCGAGCGCCCGCCGCTGCCCGACGCAGAAGGCAGTACGGCGGACCAGGCCAAGGCGGCCAACAAGGCGATTCCACCCCCGGCGGTGGTGATCGACATGGACGTACGCTTCAAAGACATCAAGGCGGCCGTACCGCTGTTCACCACGGACATCAGCTACAGCACCAACGCCTTCGTGCGGCCCATCGTGGCGTTTATGAACGCCAACAAGACGCTCATCCCCATCCGGTGCAGGATCGTCATGGACCTCAGCGAGTTCGATGGGTCCCTAGATCTGGCCCAGACAGGACTGCTGCCGGTCGTGTCCGAGAAGATCTACGAGGCGCTGGCCAACCACGTCGCCTCGCAGAACGCCTCGAGCAAGAGGCTCAAGAATGTGAGTCTCTGGTCGCTCCAGGTGAGCGCGAATGCGGCGCTCAACCTCGTGACGCTGCTGCGGGACACGATGGCAAGAACCACCGGCACTGCAGCTGCCATCACTACCAAGGGCGCCAGTTGAGCCAGCTGCACATGTGTATGTTGTAATGAAGGTCTGTTCACGGGTCCAAGTCGAAGGTGTGGGTGTGTGTGGGCATATTGAGGGTTGTTGGTTGGGTGTGACACGCTAATTCGGATGTCGGAAGACACACCTTTCCACACGGGCCTCTTTCTTCCGCAGCGTTGGAGTCTTTGCACCGCTCCTCCACGCACACACAACACCGATTGGAAGATGGTAAGCCGCAGCCTCACCTCGTTTCTTGAGCGATGCCGCTGTGATGCTGACTGCATTGCGCTTTTGGTTCGGGGCGGGCACAGGTTCGGGGCCACGCGAAGCAAGCTGCGCAGGAGGCGGCCAAGAAGAAGGCCGACGCGCAGAAGGGCGGCAAGTCGCAACTGGGCGAAGCGCGCGCCAAAGGCCTCAAGTTCACCTGCCCTACATGCAAGGCCCAAAGCCCCGTAAGCAGCCGCTGCCCATTTCAAACCCCCCGGTGTTGTTTCACTGACCGCTTTGGTGTGCGCGAGTGCAGAACTACAAGGTGCTCAAGGAACACTTTGACAACAAGCATCCCAAGGACACCTGTCCGCCCGAATCCACATTCACAGCCTAAAAACCCCCCGCACCCACAACACACGCACATCTGCGGAGCGGTCGATGTTCAAATTCTGGCTTTTAGACAAGTGTCTGGAAGATGGCCGTGAGGAGGTCTGCGGTGCGACGCACTTCTTCGGTCGTGTTGTAGTGGACGAACGAGAGGCGGATGACGCCGTCGGCGAGGTCGAGGCCGAGCGAGGAGACGAGTTTGTGCGCGTACATGTGGCCCTGTTGGGCGCCGATGGCGGAGCGCACGAGCGCTTGGTGGATCGCCTTGCTCGTGCCCACGCGGTGGTTGCCTTGCGCATCGACGAGCACGAACGCGATGGTGGGTGCACGTGCATCCGAACTGGCGTCCTCGGGTCCAACAATCCGCAGGCCCTTATCGGCCCACTGCAACAGTACCGGCATGATCACCTGCAGGAGGCTGGTCTCGTGTGCGGCCACGCGCGCATACGCTGCATCCAGCGCACCATCAACCTCGCTCCTACTAAGCGCAGTCAGCTCGCCCTCGATAGACGCACGGCCAAAGAGCGCGTTCCAGTCGACCCTTGTTGGGGCTTGGGCCGAGGTGCCGAGAGAGACGAGGTAGTCGGCGACCGCAGCGATCGAGTAGTTGAGTTCGTACTGCACCGAGCTCGTCTGGAACGGGTACATGCCCGGCGGCGCGTGCGGGGTGTGCAGGAAGAAGTGGTTGAGTCGAGCCAGCTGGGTCTCCTTCACACGCAGGTCGACGTACATCGCACCCACATGCGCTCCGTACGTCTTGTACAGGCTGAAGAAGGCCACGTCCACATCCCAGCTGCGCGGTGTGATGCGGCGGTGCGGTGCAAACGCCACACAGTCGACGCACACCAGCGCATCCTTGGCCACCTTGCGCACCACCTGCGTCGCAGACCGGATGTCCGTAAATGCGCCGAGCAGGTTCGAGCACGCTGTGAATGCCACCGCGCGTGTGCGGCTCGTCACGAGCGTCTCCAACACCGTGGGATCGAGACTCACAGCGTACTTGCTCTTGCTGTTCGAGACGCAGGTGACGGGCCAGTGTTTGAGCTTGAGACCCAGTCGTGTGGCGAGCCGGGTCCAGGCGCCGCGGTTGGTCTCGTGGTCCGCATCCGAGATGATGATCTCGTCTCCCTCCTGCCAGGCACCCTCTACGCCCGCGGCTCGATCGGCCAAGACGCGCGTTTCGAGCATCATGCTCAGACTGAACACGAGCTGGGTGGCTGACTGGCCCAGCATCACGTCGTCGGGCGATTCGGCGCCCAGAAGCGCAGCCGCCGCACACGCACCGTGCGAAACGCGCGACTCGGCTCGAGACGCAAGCGCATACGACGCCATCTGCACATTCGTCGTCAAGAGGTACGACGAGATCGCCTCGGCCACCGACGAAAGCACCTGACTACCCCCCGCATTCTCGGCAAAGACTATCCCAAACACCAGTCAGCCCTACGCTCTTCACCAAGGCAGAGTGCGGGGTGGCAACTTACTGTATCCGGACGTGGGGCTGCTAGGATCGTCCGCCGCAGCGAGCGCGGGAAACTGCGCCCGAATCACAGCCAGCTGCTGGTCGCTAAATCCAGACATGGTCCAGTACGTTTCGGTCAAGGCTGAGTGGGTGGTGGTCGGGTCGCAGACGCACCCTGGCAACTTGGACCAGAGTCGTGTGCACGTCCGTGCGACACCGAGTCGGAAGCCAATCCTCCGTAAAAAGTGCATTACCGCGCCTGGGCCTCCAACTCCGGCCAATTCGCCGTCCTCCTCCCTTCATCCTTCGTCCTTCATCCCTCACCCTCCGCATCCGCACTCTACGCACTTTTGCGCTTCCGCACACACACCACACCGCCAAGCCTAGCGTATACACGATATTGCGACACTAGAATCGACATACACCACCGATCCCGGGCGAGGCTACGAAGGAGAGCGATCTCGAAGAAAGGAGGGAAAAGAAGGCGGGAAGAGGGAGGAGAACCATTACATCGCTACTCGGTACATGAGGGAGGAGAGAGATAGTGACACCAAAAGCAAATCCTTGGGGCAGCCGGCCTGCCGCATCACCACCGCCTCGCCGGCGGGTTGAGCGGAGGCAGCGTGATCTTGGAATCGGCAGCGAGGCCGCTCCTGAGGCTCGACGTCTTGCGGTCCAGCTCGTCGTCCGCGCCGCGGTCGCGCGCCGAAGAGATGGGCGGCAACGCGCCGCCGTAGTTGGTCGAGCGATCCGAGCTGTACGGATGCTGGTATCCGGCCGACGCGGGCGCCATCAGCCTGCCGCGAGCGCCGAGGCCAGCACCTGCTGCAGGCGCAGTGGCGGCACCCGCAAGCTTGTCCAGCGCCGACGCAGCAATGCCTTCGGGCACCGAGTAGGCGCTCGAGGTCGGGCTCGACTTGGGGCTCTGGGACGAGCGCGCCGACGGCACCACCGAGACGGGCGCCGAGGCTGCATGTGCCGCCGCGCTGGGGCGCGATGCCGGCAGCGGCGGGGGCAGCGATGCCACACCTCCGCCACGGCTGCTGCTCGTCGAAACGCTGCGGCGGTGGTACTCGGCGGGCGAGTCGTACTGCCTCTCGTCCGGCCTGCCCACCGCGCCGGCCAGTTCCGGGTCGAGCGACGCCGATCCGATGCGCGACGCAGGGTCGTACACGTCGCGGCGGTGCGGGCTCACCGACACGCCGGTGCGCGCATAGCCAGGCGCAAAGCGCGGGTCCAGATACGCAGGCTGGCTCTGGCTCCACGCCGGAGGCGGCGGCGGAGGCGCACCGCCGTACGCGCCGTTCATCTCGCGGCCGTACGGGGCAGGCGGCACCGTCTCGCGG